TCATATGATTCTGCTAATTAATTTGTATTTAGCCTCAAAATGCATTTTACCATTGATGGCTATATTACAGAGTTCAGAAAAGGTTTCATTAGTGAGCAGTCGCTCAAAACTCAAAGTTCACTTACTTACGTAGCTCTTTGCCACCAAGATTCATGCTCTCAGCCCAGGCAGACCTGAGACTTTACTTTAAAATGATACAAAATCGATTGGTTTTACACCAGAACCAGAGCAGACCATTTTCAGATTCTCTCTCTATAAAAAAAATCTCCCTGAAGCCACCCCAGCCTGTCTCAGCACATCTGCACTACACGATCCATCAAGGCATAATGAAACAGCACTTCCTCCTTTTAACTCCGAACATGCTCTTCATCCTCAACTTCGGTCTGAACACTTTCCAGGTAATTCTCGTCAAACATCATTTAATGCTCCAAATGGAATTCTAGATTGCGCTGTTAGGCAACGAGAGGATCCCACTTTTGTGATGTAAACCACGTTCGAGGTTTCCTTAACATACTTCCTTATATTCTAACCTCATTGCATATATCTAGGGTGTGTCTGGGGGACCAGTCGTGGCGCAGATCTGCGGTGATGTCAGACTGCCAGTCAGAGGCCAGGCAAATATGTACACGCAAGCTTGTTGCTATTCTCCGTGTACGAGCCTCACTCACATGAATAAATCATTAAAAGATATAAAAAGTTTTAGAGGAGGACAATTTGAAACTCCGTACACACCTACCGCTAATTAAACTTACACTGATTAATAACTTTATTAGTATCTTCCCCATCCCTTCCAACCAATCCTTATCAAAGTCACAGCATAAATAACCAATTTGTTCATCTCCGTGCTGTTTACTTCCTGTGACTCTAGAGATGAATTCCCCTCCCGCGAAGCCCCATTTACTCCTTTCATTTCTAAAGACAAAAATCCTACTTGGCCCCTTGTGGGATTTGCACTGCTGCCAGCATCATAATCATCCTTGAATACATCCTTTGAATAAGATAAAAGAATACCCAAGAGGCTTTGGAAATCATATTTACTTCACCTTATTCAACTCCCCATTTATTCTGTGGTTTATAAATTTATATTGGGTTATGTGCTTTAGATATATGAGTACAAACAAAACCGGGGTGATGTGTATTAATGTAATATGCATCGATGTCAACCCCCCCACCCCTCCGCCC